AAAATTCTTTAACTTCTTAGTTGACACACATATAAGTTTTTGTCTTTGCTACTCGAATGAAAAATATATAAATCGTTTGCCCGATTAATTTGTAAACGAGACTTGAATCTAGCACTCTATTTTCTGACGTTTAGAGCTGTTACTATGTTTAAAAGTACTATAAGCAACAACAACAAAAATACTATAAACAAGTAAGACGATTTGTTCGGATTATGTCATCCTTTATAATGCTTATACAACCATCTTCGTCTTCGTAGTCTTTCAAAGTCACATGCAAACACACGCCTTGGCGTTAGATAAAACTAGATTTATATCCACGCGTTGCGTAAGATTTTAGTTTTGAACTACTAACAGTAAAAATGATTGATTATAAATATATTTTTTTTAATTTTAAAATCGTTTATAGCTAAGTAGTAGCAAAAGCCAGTTGTAAACATTACAGGGAAATAAACGATTTCAGTGACAATCTCATGACATTTTATTTTCGAAAGAGTTTTTACATTCAGAAACTTAGAAATTCATTCTAAAATTTGAATTAGTGAACTTCAAATACAATATTTGGATCTTAAAAGTTATTTTAGGATTACCAATCAAATATCTCATATTCTTGTATTTTCTATATTATTTTTAAAATAAGTTCTATAAATTAACACTTAATTTAAAAAAAAAAATTAAAGTCAACTTATGTATCTTTCGATCTAATTTTGTCATTGTTCATCTAAGTGTTCATAGTTAAATCCATATTCTCCAATTCAAAATTCTACAAACTTTTTTTTGTTTGTCAACATCCAAAATTATATTACTTTCATTAGTACATTATATTGAGTTATTAATTTCTATCAAGTTCATTATAATTTTATCTCATTCTTCATATATTAATATTAATGATGTTAACTTTTAAGTTTTAATTATTTTACTTAATTTCTTGTTTATATTATATAATTTAGAGTTATACATTAAAACTACAATTAATATGAATAAATGAATATCTAGAATATGATTTGTTTTCAGTTTTATACATTTGATGACAAAATAATATCTATTTTCATATTCAACATTTCTATTTTAATTCTTCTAATAA